TCTGCCATCATCTACAGTGCACAGGTTAGTACTTAGAAATACTCTGACTACGCCTAGCTGAGTACATCTGCAAAAATATTTAAAGATCAACACCATCCAGGACACAGCAGCTTGCTTGATTGGCATCCCTCCCACCTATCACCTTAAACACTCCCTTCCTCTGACGCATAGTGACTGTGTGTACCATCTATAAGATGCACAACAGCAAACCCTCAATTGCTCCTTCAAAGCCACAATCTCTACCGTACACCATCTAGACTTGGATCTAAAAACCAAAAGCACTGTGGATGTTGTAAATCAGGAACAAAACCAAAAATTCATGGAAATGCTCAGCAGGTGTAGCAGCAAGTGTGAAGAAACCGTTAACGTTTCAGGTCTGGTGACCCTCCGAACTGATGTTGGTAGGAAAACGTTGGTTTATATGCAGAAAACAGGGAGGGGGATGGGGAGTTGGTAGGGAGTAAGCGATAGGTGGGGGATAAACAAAGGAGTTGATACCAATCCAGCTAGGGGGGTGAATAGCTGTTAATGGGGACTGTTAGTGACTAACAACAGGTGGTGTGTAATGGCAGGTTATGTGTTAACAAGGCCTGGTGTGTGGGGTAGCGGACTAGGACATGGGAGAGTTCAGGCCCTGAAATTATTTACCTCAATATTGGGTCCGGTGGGCTGTAGGGTCCCCAAGTGGAAAATGAGATGTTGTTCTTCCAGGTTGCCTGAGCTTTGCTGGAACACTGCTGCAAGCCTGAGACAGAGATCTTTGCCAGGAAACAGGGTAGTGTGTTAAAGTGGCAAGCAACTGGAAGCTCAGAGGAGACCACATTGTGAGCAGCAAAAGCAGTAGACTAGATTTTCCAGAACATCTACGTTTTGCTTGCAAAAAAGACGCTGAGCTTCCAGTTGCCTGCAATTTTAACACACCATGCTGTTCCCTGGCAACGATCCCTGTCTCAGGCTTGCAGCAGTCTTCCAGCAAAGCTCAGCGCAAGCTGGAAGAACATCACCTCATTTTCTGCTTGGGGACCCGGCAGCCCTCTGGACTCAATATCAAGTTCAATAATTTTAGGTTCTAAACTCTCTCATGTCCTAGGCCCCTATCCCACACCAGGCCTTGTTATCACATTGCCTGTCATTACACACTACCTATTGTTAGTCACAAACAGTCCCCATTAACAGCTATTCACCATCCTAGCCAGATCGTTATCAACTCCTTTATCTATCTAACTGCTCTTCTCTCTCTTTGGGCTCTATCTGCACCTATTGTTTACTGCCTACCCCTTCCCTATCTTCTGCATATAAAGTGACGTTTTCCTAGCTACCATCAGTTCTGAGGAAGGGTCACTGGACCTGAAACGTTGACTCTGATTGTTTCTTCACGGATGATTCCAGACCTGCTGAGCTTTTCCAGCAACTTCTGTTTTAGACTTGCATCTATATTGTTGTTCCTGTGCAGTCACTGGATCAAAATCCTGGTACTCCCTTTCTAACAGTATGGTCGGTTTATCTTCACAAGATGGACTGCAGTGAAATTTGGTAGAGGAAACATATGGCCTTTCCAGTGACATCAACATCATGGAAAATTATTATTTAAAAATCCTTCACTCTAAGGGTCTTGAAATGGTTTTCACCTCACCATTCTATTTCCATCTTTACTAAAACTCTATCTTTGAACTGCTCCAATCTGACTTTCACCCTCCTCACAGCCCTTGGGATGGTCTTTGCAAAGTACCGAATGACGTTCTGGGGCTGACTTTATTTTCTCTTGTCATTCTAGACATAGCTGCGGCATTTTGGCGTGGTTCATCATTTTATTCTCTGCTTAAACAGTCCAATGTTTAAACACCGCAATACCAGTGGTTGATTCTTCTCTGGCGTTGACACTCACCCAAATTCTCGGTTATCTCCTTTTTCTGATCTGTCTACTATTCCTTCTTGATAACGTCATCTGTAGATTTAACAGTATTTTCCATGTATTTACTGTCATTATTCAACTGTATTTCTGCACCTATACACCATGTCTTTGTGTCTGATGTTTCGAACAATATGTTTATGCTGTTCATATGCATGTCTTCCTCACTACCTTATTCCCTGTTCCCAGTCTGTGTGTGCACTTTATCCCTCTGCCCCATATGTTTAGAATGACCCTCATATCTCATACTCCCTTATTGCACCAAATTATTTAGTAACTCAGCAGTGTACACTTTTCTTTACAATGTCCCTGACTCCAAATATTTCAAGTAAAATATCACCCATGCATGAGCATAATAAAAAGGGAATTGATTTACAGCTTTCACAGAAAAATGAACAGTTACAGATTCCCAAGACATCAATAGCAATTTTAGAATACAATGTTAAAGTCACTGTAAAGCAATAAATGGGATTACAAAAGTATTAGATTACATACTCCCTCTTCTCTAAATTTAATGCTCCATACCACCAGAATTAAGCTGATATTACAAAATCTTTGGGTGTAGTAATGCCTTCAACACTTTAAAGTATTAGTGTTGAGAGGCAGCGCTGGACAGAAAAGTAGCAAATAGAATCAACCCGGAAAAATGTGAGGTAACACACTTGGGGACGGCTGACCACTGTTGAATGGCAGGGAGAGGGTGATACTGACAAGGTAAAGGAGTGGGGATGGTGGTGAGTACTGTAAAGTTGTGACTAGGTAGGCAGCATTTAAAAGGGTATTTTTGCATTTCACCAGTCCCCTGGCACCATACGTGTCTTAGGAAGATTACAAAATCATGGGCATTACTGCCACAATTTCCGCTCACTTCCTTTAATATCCTTGGATGCATCACATCTGGTTCTTGTGCCTCATCAACCTTAAGTATGAACAGCCTATCGAAAACCTTGCTTTTACCAATTTTTATTTCCACGAGTGTATGGACTACCTTCTCTTTCACCATAATTCAAACAGCAACTTCTTCATTGGTAAAGACAGGAGGAAATACTGAAACAAACAAACAAACAGTCAGGCAGCAGTAGGTAGAGGAGTGGATGAGAGGAGACACTGACAGGTAGAAAGCAGCACCTCAAGAAAAGGCAGGAGGAAACACCGAGGCAACAGTCAGCAGTAGCTAGAGGAGTGGGTGAGAGGAGACACTGAGGCAGTCAGCAGCTGCTAGAGGAGTATGTGAAAAGGAGAGACTGAGGCAGGCAGACAGCAGTACCTAGAGAATTGGGTGAGAGGAAGCCATTAGATAGGTAGTCGTGAGCATCTAGAGGAGCAGACAAGACGAGGACCACATGACAGGCAGACAACAGCATCTGGAGAAGGAGTAGGAAAAAGTATACTGAAACAGGCAGAAAGCAGCATCTAGAGGAGTGGGTGAAACAAGGGCACCCAGACAGTCAGTCAATCAGACACAGAACAAAACTCAAGTGCTGATTGGTTAGAAGTTTTGTTTCTTGCTTTTTATTCTCCAGTTTAAAGTAAATAGTCTGAATATAGGCTTAAGTCATAATGTTCTATAGATTATCAGATCAGGCATGATCTCATTCGATGGCAGAACAGACTTGATGAGCAAAAATAAGCCATTCAGCCTATGTCTTTAAATTCAATGAATAAATCTGGGATTAAAAGCTAGTTTCAGTAATGATGACCATGAAAATATCATTGATTGTTGTAAAAGTCCATCTGGTTCACATGCCCTTTAGGGAGGATATTTACCCTACATGTGACTTCAGACTCACAGTATAATCTGGTTGACTCTTAACTGTCCTCTGAAATGACATAGCAAGCTATTCTATTTAAGAGCAATTAGGGATGGGTAACAAATAATGGACTTGGCAGTGATGACCACATCCTCAGGAAAAAGAAAAGAAAAATGTGACAAAATCTGCAGAAATATGGCAAACAGAATTGGCAATCCTAGTCACTATTGCCCCTGAAACAATGGCCTTTAGGATTAGTGACAGATAACTGGCGTGGTGAGTAACCAGTGATATCAATGAGAACAACCAATAGGTTAGAGGACCATTGAGATAAGTGATCAGTGGGGTGGGTGACAGGACAAATATGCACTGATATGAGTGATTGACAGGATAGTTGCTCAACACATTGAGTGACCAGTGGGATGGATGACCATTCAGATGATTGACCAGTAGGATGGGTGAATATTCTGAATGATCAATAGGATTGTTGACCAATGGACTGAGTGACTGGCTGGATGAATGACCAGTGGACAGAGTAATCTCTGGCACACAAACAGAAATTACTGGACAAACTAAACAGGTCTGGTTGCATCTGTGGAGAGAAAGCAGAGTTAACGTTTCACATCTAGTGATCCTTCCTCAGTTCTGGTGGTCCCTGTACTTCAATTAATCTAGTCTACTGCATTCGCTACTCAAATTGTAGTCTCCTCTACATTGGGGAAACAAAGCAAAGACCAGGTGCAGAACACCTACGTTGCGTCCACAAAAAAAAAACACCCCGAGCTTCCAGTTGCCCGTCACTTCAACACACCACCTTGTTCCCTAGCCAACATCTCAGTCCTCGAGATAGTAAGAACTGCCGATGCTGGAGTCAGAGATAACAGTGTGGGGCTGGATGAACACAGCAGGCCTGGCAGCATCTTCAGAAAATTTCTGGCCTGCTGTGTTCATCCAGCTCTTCACCTTGTTGTCTCAGATTCTCCAACATGTGCAGTTCCTACTATCTCTGATATTTAAATACTCCTTTTGGCTTTTTTTTTACCAGTCCCAGCCAATCAGAGGTGTCCTTTCAAACGGGAGCGCGCTGGGCACTAACGGTCACCCGTGCGACCAGGACGTGCGGTGACGATTCTCCGTCGCCAGCCAATGGGAAGCTAGAGCCGGCGGTGACGCAAGCGGCGGCGGGCCGTCTGAAAGGCGGAAGTGTGGCGGTGGCTGGCTGTGTGGTGCTGAGTCTGCGCAGTGGGAGTCTGGTGTGCAGGAGCGGTTCCGTCTGCGGTAGGTGAGGCCTGGGTTTTGGCTGAGGCCTGTTCCCCCCAGCACCACCACCCCCCCAACACCTTTCTACTGCGGCTCATGTCCTCTCCGCTACTGTTGCGCTTAGCACGGCAAAAGGCGCTGGGGGCTGTCCTAGGCTGCTCCCTGCATTGCTTCATTGCAGTTCTTTACTCCCAGGTCAGTTCGGGCCGGGCCAGGCTAGGCTGAATGGATGGTAGAATGACGTCCCCCCCCCCCCCCCTTACCAGGCTGGGTGGTAGTGTACCACCCCACCCCCACCCCCACCCCCAACCAGGCAGGGACCAGGCTGGGTGGGGGTGGTAGTGTGCCACCCTGGACCAGGCTG